GTCAGAGATAAGAGAGTCATTGAGTTATACTTGGATGATGGCTGATTGTTTCACGAGGTAATTATCTGCTAAATTTAATGGTAGGAGGCGACATTTTCAGATGGGGTGAAATTGTTTATCTAGAGCATTAAAGCATCAACATTTGATTCTGAATCTGAGATGAGAGATTTTGATACAAGGATAGCATGTGAGTAAGACTTCTTGTGTTTGTTATTGTGCACAGCTAAACAAAATAAAACAGGTGCATCATTTTAATCAGACAAACAATGTCGACCATGTTCCACTCCAGTAGAGTATAGTGAAGCAATCTGATGAGGTGACATTTTGAAATCTATTTTTGTCAGCATAAAACTTTCCTTTTCTTGTCCACTTCACACCGCTGTGTTCCATGATTGACAGTTCACTTTTTGGGTTCTGGAGAAGGCTTTGAAAGGAAATTTTCTCTTTTCCTCCCATGCTTCACCTGGAGCAGGCGAAATGGCCTGGCATGCGGTAGAGACATAGAAACGGGAGGGAACGAGACATCGGCTTGCAGTGGAAATGGCAGTGTCAATTAAATATCACTTTCAATTTCCTTGTTTTATGATCCCCAGGCTACTAAGCACCAATAATCCCCCCTCGGCAGGCCCTCCTACCTTGTCTTGAGGAAGATTGATTACACTTGTCGCCTCCTATAAAAAAGACATTTACATGAAAATAAGAAAACAACCTCTTTGTTTGCATGGAAGTGAATCAGGGAAAAAGCAATTCCCAATTTGATTTTCATACAAAGGCAAGGCAAGATAACAATCTCTTGGCGTCTCATCTGAGTGAGTTTTGGAGGTAGAGCACAGAGGGGGGCAAAGACGTATGTAAATTGAATAAAGCTGGCAAATTATTTTCATGCTACTTTGATGGATGTTGTCTTCACTCACACAATGAAGATCTCTCAGATGCGGTGGTGGAGATGGCTTGTGACACAAATAATACAAGCTCTGGCCTATGCTTATTTCTTTCCAAAATGGAGTTCAAATTTATAGCATGGGGAAAAAAAGGCCTGAATATGTTTGCCTGACATTGCTTGAGCTATTTTTGTTTTTGTCAGATACCATATGAGACAGAATAAAGAGATTAGTACATGCACGTAACAAGCAGGTAAATGTCTTTAAGACATGCTTATTTGCTTTGATTTTACTTCAGTATTTTCTAATTATATCTAATTTTCTCCTGGGTAAAATAGCTGTTATTCATATTTCCTTTGAAAATTAAAGAAATATTGACACAGTGATGTGCAAATGACTAAGAAACTACACTTATCAAAGAGAATGAGGTCACTAAGACAGTATTTTGGAGGCAACTACCTGCACTGAATGATCTGTGAAATTTACATTGTGTATAAAAAATATATCTGTATAATTTTCTAATACTAATAAATTAAGTGTAAATATTTTTATTAATACACTGTGCAGCTGTTTATTTTTTTTCCAAAGGAAAAAGTGAGTAATGACCAGAGTGCATAGTCACTAAAGCAGCTTTATCAATGATTGTAAATTGTACAGTTGTATTATATTGAACATAGCCCTTTTACTTTTATGATTATCAAAATAAAAAAGTTCTGCTCACAACTGCTGCCATAAGAGAGCATATATTCTACCATATGTTTATACAAAAAAAGCAAACACTTCCCTCTTAATGTAAATTCTGTAGCTAATCAGTTAATTTCATTGGTGTTCAAACAGCACAATAATGCATAATGCAAGAGAATTGTTGAGAGCAGTCGAATAGCTTTTGAACAGCCAAAAAGAATTTGATTAACCATCAAGACATGTTGGGATAGTCTGAATTGATAAAAAATGCCTATGTCATTATCCAAAATGTGACTATGATGCTTAAAGAAAAACAAAAATTTTAGCCAATTACTTTTTTTTTATCCTTGCTTAATTTGAAGGGATGCTCATATTACTCAAGAACAAGGTTAAATATTTGAGCAATACAGTAAAACAAAATATGCATGAAATTAAATGTTTTAATTGGGGGGAATTCACTTTATTAACCAAATATAATCATGCCAATGCATTTTGCATGAAACTTGCATAATCTATGCTTAGCACAAACAAATACAACATACAATATGTAAAAATATGAATATAGATTAAATTTTATGCTCAAATTTCAAACTTGATGTCTTCCTGTTTCCCCTTCCCGCCCCAAGAATCTCTAAAGAAACAAAATCTGAGGTAAAAAGGTCTGCATGTATGTGTTGATATAAAATATTGTAGAAGATTCTTTTACCTGACATAGTAGATAATTAATATACAACAAGCCATATCCATATACAACACTGCCTTAAAGTGGTCAGACCCAAGGAGATAATCCGCAGAAGCCCCTTTCCTTTATTTTTATACCATCACTATATTTCTAATTAATAAAAAAAAAAGATTCCTTTAAAAAAGGCAAATCAGGAAAGAATTTTAAAAATTGCTAAAGATACTGAACGAAAAGCAAAACCTGTAGCAGAGGGACAATTTCAACATATAATCGGTATGGGTCAAAGGGAGAAAAAAGGGATTATAATGATAAGATAACACATGGTTTGCATAGGCATTTCTCAAACAAAAGCAGGAGCAGGTGATACGTCTGTGCATACGTTAAACAGCCAGGAGAGATTAGTTAAGCCAAATCTCCTCTGTGCACCTTCAAGTCTTTAGTCAGTGCCATGTGTCTTGTAGTAACCGGGTGTGCTGAGCATGTTTACACAAAGCATAAGAGCATCAATGTCCAATAAGTCGTGTCTCACATGGTCTTTCTCCACTTAAACAAAGTCAGACCAGCTATGTGAACGACTCAGCTCCTACACACCGTGTACACACACAGCCATATTAGAGCTTTGAACGGCTCTGTATTGTGGCACTCTGTGTGTGTGAAGCGATAAGCTAGGCTGCTAATGCAGAGCACAGGGCACTAATAAACAAACAGTGTTTAAATTGGCCTGAAAGGAATCAGTGGTGCGTAGGAATCACCCACCCAGTGCTTCAATGGCTTAATCTTCCTGCTTCTCACTCTTCCTTTGCACATTCTCACAGAAGATTAGAATGTAATAGACACAAAAGGGGACATTGGGATCCTTGGGAGTTACTAGATTGACCTTCTTTTTAAATATGATGAGCAGGGTTCCCACATTAAATAAGAACCAACAAACTATAAAATCATAGCCTAAATTATAATGGAGGGTGGGTTAAGGATATCCCTGTTTGACTGTTTTTATAAACTTGTTTTTAAACCCTCTATTTTTAATATTTAATAAATGTGACCTGCAACTGCACATATGCCAGTGTATAAATGTGGTCAGTAAAATGTGTTCTGTATTTCTGTTTTCTAACTTTGTAACTGACTTTTTGGCAACTAGAGGGCAGACCTGGCCATTTCTGTTTGCTCTATTATGGGTCTTTTTTCTATAGGATGTGTAAATGTGAGTGCATGATATAAATTGTACATAGGTAAATGCATCCTTTTTCCAAAGTTGTTGGCTACATACTAAATATGCATGATATACAGTGTTAGTTAATTTGATTTTAATTTAAGCAGAAATAACAACATATTGATCTCACTTGACCAGAGCACATTCTTTTAGTTTGTGGTACTATTTATTTATCAAAAGACCTCCGATGTCATTTACTGAATGGCTTTCTTTATTAATTTGATATTACTTTTACTTACAGATGGAACGTATTTACTAACTTGGTCATATTATAAGGAGCATTGTTTGCCCTGGATTTTAAGGAATATTAAAGTGAAAGGAGTGACTGCACAGATAACATGTTTTATTTGTAAAAAGAAAAAAAAATGAGCCAAGCATCATTTTGGTTGCACTAAGACAATACAGCACTACTCTGTATAAATTAAAACCCATTCTAATAAAACACATTTACAGTTTTGGTTGTGTTTGGCATTGGAGCAACCATATTATATTTGTTTTTATCTTCCTGATGTAATATTAGCATTCCAGCAGAGCATTACAGCAAAGGAGAACTATTAGAGTTATGTGTTGTAATGCATTGTCCCATTTTAGAACATGCCATGAAAAAAGAAAAGCTCGGCCTTCCGGAAGGCGATTCATCTTTTTCTTTTTTTTTTTTTCCCAGAGCCCCCCCCAGGTCAACTTTTCATGGTGCCTGTTTGGTTTCCAAATGTTCTTTTCTCTCACCCCCTCTCAGGCAAGCCATAGTGTCCAAACTTGTCTACATTTGGTTCCCGTGTTTTTGTGCATGGTAGATGTCCTTTTAAATGGGTCAATCTCAAATAAGTCTTTATTCTTGCTTTGTCTGCTCATATTCTGTGTTTTCATGAACTCTGGCCTCAGCCATGGCAACAGCTAGAAAAATGTTAACGTTGATTGACGGGATTTAAAAAGGCCCCCCTTCCTGGTACGCATTTCAAACACTTTGAGAACAATGGTGCTTGGTGTGATTGAATTAATGAGGTATTGCCAACTGTCAAAAGAGCACACATACTTTACATAAACCTGATTATCTTTGCTTGGCAGAAATAGAAGAAAGCGAGGGAAGAGGGGAGAAGTAGTAGGATCGATGTATCAGAAAGGAGGGGAAGAAGAGAGGAGTTTTTTTGGTGGCCAAAAAGGCATTAAAGTTTGAATTGCAAGGAAGAATAACCATAAATTAGTGTTGATTTTTTTGTTTTAGACTCAGACTTAGTTTTTTCTCCAGTAGCATGCCTTTTTTCTGCCAAGAGTTCGCCGAACACATGGGATTTAACAAATGTATTCAAGGAGCATCAGGCCCCATGAACAACACACATTTTCACAAGCCAGAAACCCCAAGCGGTGTTTTGTCGGGAAGCCATTGTTTTGCTTGAACCACACAGAGACCTCATCGGCTCTCCGACCTCAGGCCCCTGGAAAAGGAGCAGCAGTGCCCTTAGTGAACCCGTGAAGTGTCACCCGCAGTGACTGCCAAGACTTGCTCTAATTCTACTGACCTATTGAGACAGAAAAATAGAGTAGAGAAGTGGAGGGTGGGATGGATGCTGGAAGAAGAGTGAAGGGATCGGATAAAGGTCCTCTGACTGAAATGCTCACCAGATCAGCAAAGTGAACCCTCGGAAACGTGAGCTAATTCACTATTTAATCCTTTTAGCTAACCCCCCCCCCCCCCCCCCCCCCCCCATCTATGTCACTTCTGTCCACCTCAGCCCCCTTCCTCCATCTCTCTTTCTTTTTATCCCCCCCCCCCCCGCCTGTCTTTTAAACCTTCTTTTCCTAGTAGAGCGTCAGCAAAAGTTGCTGAGCAGAAGAAGAGGGTGTGCAGACCAGGGCTTCCATGATTTACTTTATGTGTGTGTTGCCTAAGTGGAAGGTGAAAATGTGAGGAGCGCTGACTGTGTAGGCTGCTTCCGTATCTATGAGAGCTTTTTTTTTCCTTGTGAAAAGCTGTGACAGCTGCTGCTAGATTTCCTGGGTTGTCAAAAGTCATCTTTGTTAAGTTCTCCCACTCAATGAATAGCAGTGGATAAAAAAAAAAAAAAAAGGCGTGTTCACACATCAAACTGTAGGTGGGCTTTGCTGCGAGTGGTTTCCAAAAAGAAGAAAAGGAAAATCTCATAACATTACTCCAGGGGCCTCTGAAAGGAAAAGAAAATCACACATTACTCCGGAGGCCCCTATTGTCTTATGCACTAAATCCAAGCATATCAAATGCCTACAGATCCCCTCCTTCTTGCTTCTGAACTTATACGTGAGAGCCTGCACAGGCAGATACAAATTGACTCCCATGCTGCGAGGTTGCTGGAACATAAATTGAAATGGGAGGCATTGTTGTCAGTGAGTAATATACTTAGCATTATTCATAAAAAAAAAGAGAAGAAAAAAAGAATAAAGGGTTCTGGCTGCTGTTGAAAAAAAATTATTTGAATGACAGTGGAGTTACATATGGGCTAATGTGGATTTTTTATCTGCTGCAAGTGTCAGGAATATATATCCTCAGGGTTGTATCCACATTGGATATCATTGTACTGATACCAACAAAACAAATGACAGGCGTAATAATGTATTACAATCAGATTAGTAGGCAGTTGCTGAGTATTACAATGCTTTTTTTATTAATAGAGCTTTTGGTCTGAATAAATCATGCTGTTGACAGTTTTCTTGTTTCTTTAGTCAACTTTTTTGCTCATGAACATCAAATTTAAACAGAACAATGAAACATTACGTAAAAAACAATTAAATAAAGATCTGCTATGAACAATGAAGATAAAAACAGACTGGCAGCAGCATACAGTCTTGTGATTTTAATACCACAGTATCTGACATTTAAGTTTATTTCTATTACTAGCATTTTTGTTGTTGAAATAGCGTATTATTTCCTAAAAGAAAGTATCAAATTTTACTTAAAAAAGGACAAATTACAACATATATAAATACAGAAATCCAAAAACTTTTGAATAGAATTGACTGCTCAATATTCTCATTAATTGTTATGTGTCCAAAAACTTAAAAAGTTAATCTGATTACTAACTGGGGTTTATTTTAATGCTCCCTTTTACATGATTAGTGGTTATGCATTTTATTGAAGTTAAAATTAAAGGTTGTGTCTAGCTTAACAAACTTGTCATATTAAACTACATTGATTTCTATAACTGTGATTTTTTTTTTTTACTAATCTTTGAAAGTGTTTGTTAGCATTGATCATTCTGCCAAATAGGTCATGCCTTTTATAGGCACTGTAATCGACAATATCCCCTCTATTTTAAAAACTGATTTCCCATTAAAACATATATTCTATAGCCTATTTTTTCTCGTGTCTCTAAAGTTTTTTCAAAATAAATCACAATCAGCAGAACCTAATCAAGCAATGTAATTTATGATTTTTTTTCATTTTAGTAAAATAAAACACAAATATAATTAAAAACATTTGCTAGTATTCATCTGATATTGCAGCTGTTTAAATTTAACACAATTTAAATAATTTGGAATTTTACGAATTATTTGTATTGTTCTATTTGTTCTATTGTTCTATTTAAAGGTTTCCTTGGCCTGTTTTCTCTTAAGGCAATTTCTAAACTATATAGTGTAAAAATGGCTGGCCGATGGACAAATAGGATTTGTTTTTGATAAAATAAATAAAATACATTATCCAATTTTAAAAATGAAAATAAAATGTAAAACAAACAAACAAAAAAAAACACCTTAATTGTATGTAACACTCAAATTATGAAGTGAGTACTAGTCAAAAAACAGCAAAAGCTGTTTAAAAAAAAAAATGTTGGCCTCGACATCTCCATCTTGACTAACTACAGCCTTTTTTTCCTTTCTTTTATTTTGGCGCTGTCATAGGACTCAGCAGTAAATTACACTGCAACTCAGCAACAACTCCTTGACTTTTATTCAGGCTTGGGTCTAATTGTAATTCAGGGGACCAGAGATTTTGTGTCACTGAATGCTTCATTTGCAGTTTGCAGTTTGCATGAACCCAGGAGACATTAACTCAGCCCCCTTCTCCATTCATTACAATGCTATTAGTCTCTGTGAATTGATCAATATATCATGTATAGAACATCTTGAACGTGGACGTCTGGCTCCTTTGTGAGCCCAGAGATAATGGTTTCACCATTCAAGCTGGCTTGTAGGAACATGGAGATAAAGCAAGGCATAGAAGAGTTATACCGCTTAGAGCTATGGAGAGGGAGCTATCTCATCCAGATTATAAGTGGGTGAACTTAAAATGCATAAAAAGGACAGTTTATTGTGAGGGAAAGAACAGCTCTGGAGGAGGATGTAAAGATCTGAGACTCAAACTGGCACCTTTCATTCTCCTCAGGCATTCAGGAGGAAAGAAATTCATCCATTCTACTTTCCACAGCCTGATTGAGCTGTGCGCTCTGTGATGCAATGCCAGTACCAAAAAAAAAAAGAGCTAAAAAAAACTATTGCTGAAATTCAAACTTGTTTAAATCGTGTTTCATTTCTATCTATTCACATATAATAGATAAGAAAAAAAAATGTGTTTACATTATATCACTTTTTCTAGAACATCACATGTAGTTCACACACGTACATAAAAAATGAATGAAAGAAAATTATAATAATAAAACAAACTTGCATAATCATTGCTCTATATACCTTAGAAATACAATATATATATTAGAAATACAAAAAACCTAAAAGGCTCTAATTTGTTGTTACAATTTGAATAATGTTCTGCCATGTTCAGAATCGTGGATGCACAAAAACAGTTGCAGCACACACAAACCCCAACTAAAACACAGTCTGGTCAATTTTTGGTGCAAAACTACAGCTTTTCAGAAAAAAAGGAAACAAAAAAAAACAAAAAAAAAAAACAAACATCTAACTGACTATAAAACATTTTGGCAGCAATAAGATGTTTGTGCACTGTTTATTTTTCACAGAACTTGGGTAACTTGCTGTAACTGATGAGAGCATACATTTTGCCTCCTGATATCCAGAGGGAGAAATGTTGCGCCATCACTTTGTCATCATAAGCTTAAAAGCAGTTATATTCTAAAGGAGGATGGGAATCGAAAGCACACCAGCAAGTCCACCTCTGTATATTTTTAAAATGGTTTTGAAGTGGTCTTGTCAAAATGTTTGCTTAAAGACCTTATCTTCATCATCTAGTTCAACGCTTTGTATTTTGTAAGCCTGACCACTGTTAGTTATATCTTTAGGCTCCAGTTCTGTTCTTTTTGATTTTATAGACAAACAAAGAAAAAAAGAGAAATATCTCCAATTAGCCTTCAGTTAGTTTTTTTCTGTAGTGTTAGAACTTTGTAAGGAAACATTATATCTTGTCCAGAAACAGAAGCACCCTTTTAATGTTTCTCTGTCTCTTTGGGCCTCCTACTTTGTTAGTCCTTGGAGAATTGATTTTTCGGAGCATGCGGGAACAAATCAAAGAGCATAATGATTGGGTTGCAGAGAAAAAAAAGGTATACATGGCGTTGTAATCAATTCGACTATTAACAAAGAATGTTTTTACTCCTGCTACAAGTGTTTCGTTTTTTGCTTTTTACAATAATCTGTAATTAGTCAAAAACACAAAGTGGAGTAATGACAATATTGTTGTACACATGGTATTTGTAAAAATACTTAAAACTTGGGAAGATAATGTGAGAACAAAGTGTTTTGTTTTTTTTCCCTCTAGGCAGTTGTGCAGTGAGTTATCATAATCCTACAATCACCTGTAAAGCAGAGATCAGCAACACTGCATTTGTGAGACAGCAGATTTATTGAAAAAACAGAATTTTATTATTCTGAAGAGAAAAAAATTCACAACGTTGAAGATTGTCACTGGCTTAAATATACATAGTACTAGTAATCGCCACAGTTTGTGCTGCTAACAACAGTCTAATAGCAGTCTGTGTGTATTTCTAGACATCTCACACCCTGAGGTATTTGGGTTTTAATAATTTCCATTGAAATATTGGTCTTGCATTATTCAGTTTATTTTTTCTTTATTGTTCATGAGGTGTGGTTCTATTTCTTCATACTTTGCGTTTGGTTTCTTGTTTTGTAACTTGGTTTATTTAGAAATACTGTAAGATCCTTATTAAGTTATACCCATGGTGGTTACTTTGTGTTTCTCGTTAGCTAAAGTTTTTTCTCATTCCAACTCTATGGCAGCCTTAATGAAACAGTACAAATGAAGCAGTACAGTAATGAAGCAGAATAAAAAAGTACAAAAAATTAAGTTTCCTTCAGAATTATGTCTTACATTTGTTTGCTTCAACATTCTTATCCTACTGAGTCCTACTAGCTAACTTTTTCTGCTTTTCTAGTAACGCTTTCAGCTCCACAAACCTCTACTCCTCTAGGCCTCTCCTTACTCTACACTGAACAACTTTTGTTTTCATTAATGCACCAACCACAAGCTGAAGCTGGTGCTTTAATCGCTCTAGATACCTACTTACTTTCTTCAAAGATAACTTGATAGAATTACTTTTCCCAAAAAGTAACTGTATTAGTGACTTAATGACCGCTAAATCAAAGTAACTACTTACAAGACAAATTAACTATGCAGTTACATCTTCTGATATAAAACCTTAATACATCAGGATGACTTTCTGTGTAATTGGATCTTTAAATACAGCTTAAAGCTAAATTATCAAATAAAGAATTCTTAATTTAAATTAATTAAGTATTTAATGAATTTATCAAAAGGATACAATATCCATATATATATATATATATATATATATATATATATATATATATATATATATATATATATATATATATATATATATATATATATATACATACATATATACATACATACATACATATATATTTATAAATACACTCACCGGCCACTTTATTAGGTACGCCTGTCCAACTGCTCGTTAACACTTAATTTCTAAGCAGCCAATCACATGGCGGCAACTCAGTGCATTTAGGCATGTAGACATCGTCAAGACAATCTCCTGCAGTTCAAACCAAGCATCAGTATAGGGAAGAAAGGTGATTTGAGTGGCTCTGAGTATTTCAGAAACTGCTGATCTACTGGGATTTTCACGCACAACCATCTCTAGGGTTTACAGAGAATGGTCCGAAAAAGAAAAAACATCCAGTGAGCGGCAGTTCTGTGGGCGGGAATGCCTTGTTGATGCCAGAGGTCAGAGGAGAATGGTCAGACTGGTTCGAGCTGATAGAAGGGCAACAGTGACTCAAATAACCACCCGTTACAACCAAGGTGGGCAGAAGAGCATCTCTGAACGCACAGTACGTCGAACTTTGAGGCAGATGGGCTACAGCAGCAGAAGACCACACCGGGTGCCACTCCTTTCAGCTAAGAACAGGAAACTGAGGCTACAATTTGCACAAGCTCATCGAAATTGGACAATAGAAGATTGGAAAAACGTTGCCTGGTCTGATGAGTCTCGATTTCTGCTGCGACATTCGGATGGTAGGGTAAGAATTTGGCGTCTACAACATGAAAGCATGGATCCATCCTGCCTTGTATCAAAGGTTCAGGCTGGTGGTGGTGGTGTCATGGTGTGGGGAATATTTTCTTGGCACTCTTTGGGCCCCTTGGTACCAATTGAGCATCGTTGCAATGCCACAGCCTACCTGAGTATTGTTGCTGACCATGTCCATCCCTTTATGACCACAATGTACCCAACTTCTGATAGCTACTTTCAGCAGGATAATGCGCTATGTCATAAAGCTGGAATCATCTCAGACTGGTTTCTTGAACATGACAATGAGTTCACTGTACTCAAATGGCCTCCACAGTCACCAGATCTCAATCCAAAAGAGCATCTTTGGGATGTGGTGGAACGGGAGATTCGCATCATGGAGGTGCAGCCGACAAATCTGCGGCAACTGTGTGATGCCATCATGTCAATATGGACCAAACTCCCTGAGGAATGCTTCCAGCACCTTGTTGAATCTATGCCACGAAAAATTGAGGCAGTTCTGAAGGCAAAAGGGGGTCCAACCCGTTACTAGCATGGGGTACCTAATAAAGTGGTCGGTGAGTGTATATATAAAACACTAATAGCTTTTACTTGCAGCACTGGCCACCAATAGTGTTGGGTCAGTCATGAATGTGTCGGACTAACCCAACACTACTGGGTCAATCATGATTGTCATAACTCTGCACTTTTTGGTTCTGTCTAGGTTTTCTTTTTGAGTTTTCCATTATACTTTGACTCATGTCTTTCTGAGTTTTCTAGTTTTCTAGTTCATTTCCCTTTTGTGTCATTCTTGTTGTATTTGGTTATGTATTTCTTGTTTACCCTCTGTTGCCCTCTTGTGTCGTCTCTGTTGGGATCTGGAGATCTGCCACCTTTCTCCAGCAGAGGGCGCCCTGGGTCTCCTGAGCTGAAGCCACCTGCACACCTGAGGCTGATCATCCCATCAGGAGACCAACTATATAAGCAGCAGCCTGACTTCCCTTCAGTGCCAGAGTGTTGAATAAGTCACGGTAGCCAACCTGAGCCAACCAGTCTGCCTGACTCTCTGACTCTCCTGAAACCTTGAACCTGATCCTGATCAGTTTTGTCCTCTCTGTTCTTCTAGGAAGATCCTGACTGTAAACTGGAGCTCTGGTGGAGCTCATGTTTGGAAACCAGCCTGCCTGCTCTGATAAGCCAAACCTGAAGATCTACCGTCTGCATCTGTCTGCCAGTTCTCAGGAGAGAACTTGGAGATCTACTCAAGGTCTTAACCTCACAAGTCTGAAGCCAAGCTGTGCTGCTGCTAAGCTCTCTGCTGAATCCTCAGTCTGGATCCAACCAGTACCCTCCCTCAGACGCTCAGCCTGAACCACTGAACAGTAAAACCCCGTGTGACCAGCCCCTGATCTGTTTCCTGCATCTGATCCCTGCCTGTGGTTTCTCAAATAAACTGTTAACTTTTTCCTCTGTCTCCTTGGTGTTCTACATTTGGGCTAGAATCTAGTACCAATCATGACAGTCTCCTTCTCCTAGCTCCCTTCTTGATTCCTCTGTCCACACCTGCTCCCAATCTGCTGATTAGTCTGGCCTTTGTTCAGTCTCCCATTTATACACCTCCTTTTTATTCAGTGTTTGCTGGTTCCTCATCTTTTCCTGGCCCCTCATGCGTGATTTCCCTGATATCTCCTAGATTTTGATATTCTGTATTTGTTATTTTTGGATTTTTGCTTCAGTTTCCAATTTTTGATTTATTAAAACTGCAAGAGACCACTTCAGCTTCCGTCTCTGCATTTGGGTCCTCCAAAACCTCCACCCATCCTGACAATGAATGAGTTGTTTAGTAATGAATGTGTTGCTGAAATGTTTGGAAGAATGAAATCACATCACTATCACTTACTGATCCATTACTTTCTCAGTTTAGTCAAAATCAGCATAAGTCGGCCGGTCGGGAACTGCTGTGTTCTACAACTCACACAATGACATGCGTTACTTCAAGCACTTAGCCTGGAATACCACCAAGCTGCCTCTAAAGGCTGAAGTTAGCTTTGTCAAGTTAACCTACTAAACAAAGAAAAAAGGCTGCTGAGGAGTGATTTACTGAAAATCATGCCAGATTACCGTCCCTAGTACTTTACAAATTATTGAATGATTTATTCTGGGCTGTAATAGTGATGGTTCACTAACTCACTCACAGTAAGGAGACAGCTGTGATTTGTTTGTGCTTTGACTTAGTCGCGCTGTAGACTGATGACATAGTATTCTTTCACCCACCGAGAAAATTCATCTGGCCAGCAAAAGCACAAACAGATTTCAAGAGGAGCAAAAGCAGGGGAAACTTGCAAAATTTTCACAGATTCCACATTCCGTGCGAACACACCTTCACAGTGCCTCCTACATCTATTGGGAATTGTTTTGTCCACTGCCACGACATCAACTGCTAGAACCCTCTGCCTAAGCAGAAACGCAATAAACGCTAATAAATACAATGCACCACAATGAACCACAAACTAGTTTTAATGGCGAAATACTGAAGCACACCTTACCTGAAGCATTTATGTAGGACTTTTGCAGCATCATGAAATATTAAGAAAACAGGCCTTTTTTATTTCAAGCCAGTAAAGTTATTTCAAGGCAGACACAAACACATCAATAAAAAAAGCCCCTAATTTCCACATGCAGAAAAGTAATACTAATAGACACAGTTATGTTGGCTGTGAGGGAAGCTGCATCCAATGTCTTTAACGTGAATGAATACATTATAAAACAAAAGAGGGGAAAAATAAATCATGTTTTCATTGTGTGCATTATCAGGCTTTGTCAAATTAATTTAAAGAATAGAATTCAACCTTATTGTTATTACATTGTCAAGTGCAAAGCAATAAAATTCACTCTCTGCATTTAACGCTTCCCCTTGGTGAGCAGTGACTGAACCCCAGTCGGCCTCAGTAGATGGCCGCTCACACTGAGCCTGGTTCTGCTGTAGGTTTCTTCCTGTTAAAAGGGAGTTTTTCCTCTCCACTGTCGCTACAAGCATGCTTAGTGTGAGGGATTGTATTTGAGTCAATGAGTCAATGCAATCAACTGGTTTTCCTTAGATACACTTTGAATCAATTTGACTGTATGATCTGGTTGAACTGTAAAGTGCCTTGAGATGACATGTGTTGTGAATTTGGCGCTATATAAATAAACTGAATTGAAAATTGAATTGAATTGACTGCCATTTTGCGGCGCCCAGGGAGCAGTGTTGGGGTTAAGGGTCTTGCTCAGGGAGCCAGAGTGCCGGCTGTGGGGTTCGAACTAGGTACTTGCACTTGCAACCTTCTGAGAGCAGAAGCATACTGCTCTAACCTGTAAGCCAACGCTCCTTAAATCCCCATAGGTGGCATCATGTTGAATGAGTGCATATGTTTTGACAAACTTATGAATGTAAAACCGTCTTTTTGGTGTGCCCCTCAAAAAGGGTTTCTGCATCTGACTTTTGCTATTGGCTCAGCCAAGGTTGTAACCTCACCAAAGAAAAACTGATGTCAGCAGCTTTACCCTTGGCAGCTGATCTTTACTGACTTGCTCAGTTTTGTGTCAAACAGTCAAATCACTGTTAAGCTACTGACAAAAAATAAAAAAAACAGAATATGTATTAAATTGGATGAAATGTATGTGTTTGTGGTCTAAACGTGCAAACTGGCATTTATCTCGAGTCAGTGGGTCACAAAACATGAAATGTAAATATTACTTGTATGGTTCAGATTTTTATTGATGGTGCTCATGAGAACCACCATATGTGGGAGGAGGATCCAACCACAGAATCTCTGAACTAGTGACCCAAACCAATACAGCAATTAAACAATTAAACACAATGGAACAACACTTGCCAAGAAGAATTGTTGAAATAAAGAAACAATCTGCCAAACACAAATTCTATTTGGCTTGTTTATTTATTTATTTTTTTATGTAATCTGTAACTTAATGTAACTTAATTACCCTCTACATCTGCTCACCAATACAATGACAGGTTACACTAAACTACATTTCCACCTTCCACTTCTTCGTTTTCCCCACTATTATCCATCCTCTATCATAAAGGGAGCTCACCTTGACAGGTCCTCCAGTAACCCTCTTCTAAGTGGATGATTAAAAAGAAATAGAGGGGTTTTACTGAAGGCCGGTATGCGTGGCCTCCCCAGAGTCCCCGCTTCGAGCTAGCCAAGCAGGGCAGGTTACATCTGTCCTCCAAACAAGCTCACCATCCTTTATTTATTTCTACTGAAATATTAATGTGTGTTATGAAAGGTTTAAAATAATGTGTCTGCCTTCTTTGCTTTGCACCAACACGCTGTTTTCTAATGCATGAATAATTCCTCAGTTGGTCACTGCTTGGACTCTGGGTCGCACACATTAGGTGGGGAGTATCCACTGTATCACATTCTTTCTGCCTGAGAGAAAACACCCTTCCCTTGTAATTTCCTACACTTATACAATCGACGATGACAGTAAATAATTGATGTATGAATTTAAGCCTGAAACTCCAACACAATATGACTTCATGTCAAGGGTTAGTCCCCAAAGATCTGATGCCTAATCATTATTCCAGTCCACAGTAGAAGCATTGTATTTTACTTTCCTACCTTTTATTTCTTTCTCTATGGTTGCCGTCGGCTTGTTTCAATATAACCTTTCTTTCAAGAAGGAAAAAGACAATGGCGATGGTGAGTTCTTGACTGGCTGCTGCTGGTGATTTGTCCCAATTTTTATTTGGAATATGTTGTGGGTTTTTTTTGTTGTTTTTTTTATATAAATGGGGTTTTCCACTCTGACAGGGAATTGCCTTTGATTGTGCAGTTAAAGGAATTTCACAGCCACTTTTCTTTTATCTCTTTATCTCTGTTAGTAGGTACAACTATATTAAATTTGATTTATTAGCTAGATAAGAGAGGAACTGGGGGGATGAAGGGTGAATGAGGAGGAATAGTGATTTTTCTCTTTATGCTTTAATTAACACATCGTAGCATGTAAGGCTGCTTATTGTGCTGCACAGTTTCAACACATCTCCAGTGGTAATACAGTTTGACATTAGTAGCACAAGAGTCATCCAACAATGTTGTCGCTTCAAGTTTAGTCATTAAGAAGGTTTCACAATTACTGATATGTGGTTTAATACACAAAACTTTATTTGCAACATTAGAAACATATAATATACATGAAGCTGTTAGTTACAAATCATTCAGTTTCCATATGCTAAAAATGAGTATTGTTCTAAATACAAAAAGGATGTTTTCTTTAGAAAATAAATGATATTTTTGATCATATCAAAATGTCTCTTTATTTATAAATCCCCATATATTTAGAACCCTGGGGAAGGGGTATATTTGTTCTTTGCTATTCCCATTTTTAAATATTTTTACTGTTATTTTATTAAAACTTTGCTTGGGTGTTCAGAAAACACATTTAAAAATATGTCACATAAACTTTTTAGATTTATGAGCCTGTTTGTATTTTACACTGACCTGTAAAACAAAATACCACACCGGAAACAGCTGTTTTTTTGCTCCTGGAGTGAATACAACCTAAAACTTTATCCTCAAGCCTTAAATTTCAACTCCTTAAATCTTTTTTTTTTGGTTTTTTTTTTTTTGTTTACAGCTCTTATAGAGGGATTACAGCTGTTGTGTCTTATATTGTCTATTAAGGCTGATCTGTGGTTCTAATATTTAAACCACAGAATTATTATTATTTCTTATTTTCTTATAGGTTCATGCTTTTTCAGTTCAATTTATAATTTCTATGATCTGATTAATTTTGTAAATATTTATATAAAAATATAATTTTCTGTTTCTTACTGTTTTGCACAGATATCTTTGATGAGTTAAAGGAGCATAGCTAAAGTTCAAGAGTTTTTTGTAGAAGCCTGCTCCCTCTAGTGACAAGTTAAAATGTTGGCTACACACGGAAGAAAAGAAAAGGCACCTGCACAGGTATTTAGTTCCATAATTTTTGTTATAATAATCTTGCTACTGCATTTGAGCTTTTTAGCAAAAAGAGGGGTAACTGTGGGTCACTTTTTATTTGCAGGTAGATTTGAGCTCCAACTATTTGTTAAAAGCTTCTCCACTCATAGATGGGACTTCAGCTTGTTGCTCTTTGTTATACTGGACAAAAAATGTATTCTCTCACTCTTGTTGTCCTGTGATGGGGGTGTGAGGTGGACCTGCAGCTAGTTTTTCTATGATGCATACTTGAAAAACAGGCTCTTGTGTCATCGGTGGCGGAGACTCTATAAAGGTTTCTTGGAGAACAAGAGCATGCAGCACGTCACACCACGTGCAACCCAGAGATTAGGATCAAAATCACTCTGTTATAAAATGACTAATGGAGCCTACACAGGCAAATTAAGTAAAGCCACAAAAGCCACAAAACTTCATGATGGAGGCAATGCTTAAAGCCACAGCTGTAGCTGTTAGCAAATCTATGGAAACACAATTCATTCAACGTTAAGGAGCAATAGACATAGTGAAGTAGAGTGGAGTTAAGCAGCACTTGTCAATGAAAGCAGCATAGTTGCATTAACAAATATCTACAACCATGTGTTCTCCGTAGTTATTATAAGTTTAGATTG